AGTCTGACTTTCCAGTTACGAGTAACTCATGATGAACCATGACGGCCTGTGGGGCACCATAAGCGGCTTCTCATGAGAGTCTGACTTTCCAGTTACGAGTAACTCATGATGAACCATGACGGCCTGTGGGGCACCATAAGCGGCTTCTCATGAGAGTCTGACTTTCCAGTTATGAGTAACTCATAATGAACCATGAAAAGTAGGGCTGTTACAAAAACCCGCTGTCCCACCACCAGGGATCCAGGTTCGAATCCACGTCACTTCTCCTATGTGTGTTACACGTTCTCCCAAATGTTTACATTGCAGGCCCAAATCCAGAAATAATTTTTTTATTTTATTCTTTTTTGGGGGGGGTTCAAACCGCTAATTTTACTGTATGGCTATGTGTCTGCTACATGGGTTTCCCCCAGGTACTCTGGTCCTAAAACATGCAGACTGTCAAAATCAGTGGCTTTGAATAACACCTAAGAAGTCTCTATGCTACACACACAAATGCACATACACGTCCTGTCTGATGTCCTCGGCCATCTCTCATGGGATTTGGGTTGCTAAATAAGTTGAAAATGGAATGAAGTCCGATAAAGCCAAATATATCCATATGATCTATTCTTTCATATTTATGCTGTCTACGGAAGTCTTTTTTTTCTCTGACTTAACATTGCAGAGAGCTGTAAGTGGATGCATGCATGCATCCATTCATCCGTTTGGAAAAATATGATAAAACCTTGACAAAAGTCTGATGTGATTGACGTGACACACATATTTCCAGCAATCCATTTGTCATGTGAATGTGGGAGGGAAGCAGCCCACATCTATCATTAGGGGCTAGCTGTGACCTGCGAGGGGGGGTGAGGCACTCAGGACAGACTAGGATTGTCAATTGTGAGGCACTTAGGACAGACTAGGATCATCGGGGGTGAGGCACTTGGGACAGACTAGGATCGTCGGGGGTGAGGCACTTGGGACAGACTAGGATTGTCAATTGTGAGGCACTTGGGACAGACTAGGATCGTTGGGGGTGAGGCACTTGGGACAGACTAGGATCGTCGGGGGTGAGGCACTTGGGACAGACTAGGATCGTTGGGG